CTCATGCCAGCTTTCCCAGAGATGAGCTCAGCCCAACCCCGACTCCCCCAGAGAACAGTGTCACCCTGACTTCGCCCACCCGCGAGTTCAGTTTCTGTCCTTGCAGTTAACCTTGGCTGGAACTAGGAGCAGCAGGGCTGGCTCTGGTCATGCTTTCCATTTCTCCTGAACTTCTTCACCCATCCTCAAAATGGGTGAGGTGCCCCTTCTTCCTCCTGATCTTGCTAAAGGTCCCTGCACACTAGGATCCATTTTGTCCTTCTTGACCCTCTGCCAAGAGAATACCCTGAGTCTGTGGCCTGCAGGAAAAGGCCTCCCCATGTCTAATGCCCGGTTGGCATCTCCACCCTGTGGGGCTGTCTCCCTTCTCCTTCTCCAGCGTGGCCCACGGTGACACAACTTCCCTCAGGACCCACCTTGCTCTCTCTCACTGCCATTCTACTGGCATTCTCTTCCCTGTCTGCTTTCCTTTCCATGCTCCATGGCCAGTTCCTCAGTGCTGCCTCCTCCGGGGGCCTACTCTGGTCCTTCTGGGGGCCTCTTCCCTCCTCTACATGTCTCAACTCCCCACTACGCCCCTTTCACAGGACGTGTGTTCCTCCATATCCACCATATCCACCTCATGCACTGTTCCAGAACAAGTCCTCCCTAGACCAAGTGTTAGGTAGGTTAGAGTGCCCCAAACTTGCCCCTCACCTTGGTGAGGTGAAATAGGGCAAAGGCTGGCATGAAGGGAAAGTGACAGAACCGGCCCTGGCTCTAGTTTGTGCCGTGTCTCAGCTGTGGACCCAGCACTGTCACCGTTCTGCTGTGGTATCTCACACACAGGTCCACTGTGAAGATGGACTGGGAACACTTCCCACTGCCTCATGGTCACTAAGATGGCTGCTGCCAGAAAAACAGATGGTGTGTTGGCGAGGATATGGCACCGAACCCCTGTGCAAGGGATAATAACACAACACATCTGCTGGGGGAAACAATACGGTGGGTCCTCAAAAATTAAAAGTAGGGTCACCATGTGACCCAGAAAGCCCACTTCTAAGTGAATTGCCCAAAGAACTGAAAGCAGGGTCTTAGAATTGCATTTATTCACCCATGTTCACAGCAGCACCGTTTATAAGAAATTGAAGGTGCAGGCAACTCAGTGCCCATGGACAGATGAATGCTTCAATAAATATGGCCAATACTTATGCCACTAAAGGTCTGTGGCCTCCCAGTTCACAAACTGAAGCCTAATCCCCAGGGTAATGGCATTTGGGGTAGGGCTCTAGGAGATGACTAGGTCACAAAGGCGGACTCCCCATAAGTGGGATTAGCATCCTTATCAAAGAGGCCCAGGAAGGTGCCCTCTCCTTCTGTCACATGAGGACACAGTGAGAAGATGGCCACCTCTGAACCAGGAAACAACCTTCACAGAATCTGCCAGCGCCTTGATCCTGGGCTTCCCAGACTTTTACATGGTGAGAAATAAGTTTCTGTTGCTCATGAGCCATTCGGGTGAGGGTTTTGTGTCCCAGAAGCCCTCACTGACCGAGGCAATTTACGATGGAATAGTGTTCAACCTTAAAAAAGAAGGCAATTTTGGCACAGCCTCCAACATAGATGAACCTTGAGGGCACCATGCTAAGTGAAATCAGCTGATCACAGAAGAATTTTTGCCTTGAAGCCAGACAACCATGGACTGAGTCTCCCAAAACTGTAAGCCAAGAGAAACCTCTCCTCTTTTAACTTGTGGGTGCCTGGTATTTAGTCCCAGAGATGGAAAAGCTGACTAATACACATGCTAGTATGGATTTTGCCAGAATTACACCAAAAAACAACGTTAGAAATGTTTGAATCCACCACCCTCCTCCCATATAATTTCTCAAACTTTTCAAGACAAGAAGGCCATGATGGGCCACAGAGAAACACAAAATTTTTCTTCCACCCATCAGCCCCAGCTGACCAAGTGAGAACACCAAAATCTGAGGCCTGGAGACCTGTCAACCTGAGATGAGTGTCACCCTTCCCAGGGGTACGTTGGAGGTGGTAGAGACGAGGAAGCACCTTTCCCTCCCCAGAGGGTAGGGGCTGGGGAACCCAAGGCAAGCCATGAAGGGTAGCAACACAAAGGGAGAAGCCACCACACAAAATGCTACTGAGGGGAGTACACTGTGCTCCACATCTCTGCAGAGAGCAGTGTGTACGTGAGTTGGACCGAACAAGACTTAAACGCTGAAAATGTTTATTGAGCCTCTCCCATGTTCCGGGCCTACACAAGGTGACTGCATGTTAATTCAGTCATCCATGCAGTACATATTTACTAAGCACCTAATATTCCATGCACTAAGGATGTACCAGGGATCAAAACTAAGATCCTTACTTCCACAGAGCTCCTACAAGGGTGGGCAGAATGGGCCTACTGTTTTGTCCATTTCACAGAGAAGGCTCAGAGAGGAATGTGAGTTGTGCAAGGTCACCCAGCTGGCAGGTGGCAGAACCGCAACCCTGACACTATTCCATTCAACCCCAGAACAAATCTCAGCTGGGAAGCTAGTGAAGAGCCCTCTCTAGTCTTGTCTGGGCTATTTCCTGCCTCCTTTAGGGTCTGGGTTCTCCTTGGAGCACGATTCTCTCAGACGCAGCCTTCTACATCCTGATAGAAATTACTACAAGATGTCCAGGGGGCACCTTTATCTACCCTCCATTCTCCCACCCACTCAGTTCGAGCAACAACATCCTTGAGTCCACTAAGCTCAGTCCTACCTCGGGGCCTTTGCTCATCCTGTCCTTGCTGCCTGGATATCGAGCCCCCAAGATGGTACCTGGTGGCTCCTTCTCTGTAGGTCTCAGCTCACGAGTCATCTGCTCTGGAAAGCACTCCCTGACCACCTCATGGTGGCAATATTTCCCTCCCTGTCGCTCTCTGCCCTCCTGATTTGATTTCCTTCCATCAATTTTCATCATGGTTTGAATGTGTCCTTCACATTGCATGTGTTCCCAGAGCCCTACGTTAATGACATTTGGTGGGGAGGCCATCAGAGGTAATTGGGCTTAGATGTGGTCACAACTGGTGCTCCATTGGTGGCACTGGTGGCTTTATAAAAAGAGGAAGAGAGGTCCAAGCTGGCACCGTTGCTCTGTCTCTCCACATGATGCCCTCTGACATGCTATGGAGCAGAAGGAAAAGTCCCCACTGGATGTCCATACCACACTCTTGGACGTCCCAACCTCCAGATCTGAGAGCCATATAAACTTCTGCTCTTGATAAATTACCCAGTCACTGGTATTTTGTTGCAGCAACAGAATGCAGACTAAGGCACAGGTCTTACGTATCTCACTCCTCCCCGGATTATTGTCTCCCTCCACCAACTTCCAGCTCCCTGAACATTTTCCCACACTAGGGTTCCATGTCCTGTCTGCTGGTTTGTCCCCTCCTCCCATGACATCATCAGATGCACCACAGGTGCTTGAGAGTACCGGGTGACTCTCTGAGTGGATTCCAGTTGCCATGGCACTGAGCTCAGATTCCTCATCCTTAAGATGGTGGTGGTGACGCACAGGACTTAGGAAGGTCCCTGAGCCTGGAGCTCGGCCCCCTGGGAGCTCTCTGTCAAAGATAATTACTACTCTAAGCTCCTGCCCTGCACAGGAAAGGGGCTGGAGGAAAAGATGCAGTCAGCTCTCTGCCCACCATGGTGAGGCTGGCCTTGAGCATGACCCAGCCCCAGCAGCAACCTCTCGAGAGGGCTGGGCTGGAGTGAGCCTGCCGGAGGGGAGCTCATCAGGGCCCCCAGCCTGGCAACTTTGTCATCGATGCCTAGGCTGCAGCCACCTGCATACCAACGAGCTACCTCGGCTGCCGCCACCTCCCCGCGGTGATCTCCGCGTGTCTTGCATATTGACGTTTGAGCAGAGAACGCAAATCGCATTAAATAAATGTTACAGTCTTATCGACAGGCAAAGGAGAGCTGAGAAGTCTCCAGGGGGAAGACGCTGGGCCTGGAACCCCAGGCTGTGTGCCTGGATCAAGGTCTTGAAGCAGCAGAGAACAGCTGGCAGGAAGCACATTCTTGGTCTTAGGGACTCCCCACCCCATGCAATGTAAACAGAGCCCGGAGAGAAGGTGAAGACATGAGAGGGCCCATGTCAGTACTTTTATTTATGTAAGAAACAGTCCACTTCTAAGGGGAAGAGAGATCGTCAGGGGGCCTGATGCTCCTGTCTCCTTCTTTGGGTTATAGCACCACATGGTGCATTGGGCAACTACCCCTCCCCCACCAGATGGACTCCTGGTTGTTCTGTCAATCAAAGTGCCCAGGCATCTGCCTACCAATCAGGTGCTCTCTCCCTGGAATAGGCATCTGGAGGATAAGGATGGGAGGACAGATCGGCAGCCCTCTAAATTTACTGGACCTCCATTCTGTGACCTCTCACATCCTTCCAACTCATTGCTACTTAGTAGAAGTTGGCCAAGGCCTGTTACTTTTCTCACAACCCCAGATTCACACAGCCAGCAGTTCTCCAGGGAGCACAGAGTCCTAGCATCTGCCAGGTCACGAACCTGGGTCTGGACCCATGGGTAGTGCTGTCATTCCTAATTTACAGCCCTATTCCAAGCTTTGTCTCTTCTCTTTTCCCAAGGGGGTAGATCAGGGACCTGGTGTGGCCCAGCTTCCACCATTGAAAGGGGACCACCCCCAAGGGCTGGAGGATGGAGGGATTCTGGGTCCCATACTAAGTCATGGGGCAGTGCTGTTCCACCAGACAAGGTGGCCCCTGTCCTGCTATGGAAGGAAGACTCGGAGAATCACAGTCTCGTGGAAACACTGGGCTGTTTATTGTGGTGGTTTAGCTTGTGCTGTAATACATACACAAGATCCTCGGGAAGCAACTTAGGCAGAACCAGGTCCCCTCCTCCATCCTCCATATAGAGCTTCCTGCCTGGCTAGGAAGGAGTGGGGGACCTAAGGCGCCTCCCCCACCCTGCCAGCCCTTGGCCTCTGCACCCCAAAGCTCACCTTTTTCTCATCCCCGCCTTGCAGGAGGTGCAGGCCACTCCTCCGGTCACCCTCATGCTGTCTCAGAGTGCTGCCATGGGGCTGGGACAGGCCGGAGGGTGGAGAGATGCTGCGGCCCTGCGGGTCCACCCAGGTGTAGATGTGGTTGGTGACATAGCCCCCAGGGATGCGCCCTGCCGAGTATACAGACAGCACCAGCTTCTTGGAGCCCTTCAGAGCCTAGAGAGAGGGCAACACAGAGTTAGAGGGAAGGGGGGCTCTCATCCTGCCTTACAAAAACCTCACTTCCCCTCAGGACCCCATCCCCAGGAGAAGGCGCCCAGCCTCCAAGTCCCCTTTTTCCTAACTAGTCCTTAATTTTGGCCTACAGAGAGCGGAACCTCTGTCCTACCCTTTTCTTAAAGTGGTCAGAACCCAAGAAACACAACACCTAAGGATATATGTGCAGATAAGAGTTAGCCTAGCAGGCCCACAGCTGCTTTCCATAGAAAGTTCTCCTTGGAAAGCTGGCCTCTGGCTGGCGTTTGGGAGCAAAGACTTGGCATGTCCCCACCTGAAGCCATGGCTCACTGTGTGGGCAGCGTGGGTCACACTGAAGACCTGAGTTACTCCTGGGCCCTGGAAGGTGGGTACACCCACTCCCCAGTAAAACCTTGAGTGCTTTCTAATGAGCATCCCGGGTAGACAGTATTTCATAGATGTTGTCACTTTTCATGCTGGAGGAATTAAATGTGTCCTGTGTGACTCACCCACAGAGGACCCTTGGAAGCTCAGACTTTCTCTGGACTTTGTCAATGTGTCTATTCCCAGCGCTCATTTTGTTGTGTTTCCTTTCAGTGTAATAAATATTACCCATAGCTATTACTTTTGAGTGCAGGCGCCATCTTAGTTGTACATTTTCAAGTTTTGGGATGGAACAGCAACATAGAATGGTAAGCCCAAACTCTATGCCCTGGAGTAGAAGCTGAGGTCGGCCATGTTGCTTTCCCACAATGCACCTGTAGCTGTTATTCAAAGAGACAATCACTTAGCACTAGATTAACAGTAAATTTACCGCATGTTAAAGACTGAAAGTGTGCGTGTTCGGCTCACGCACTGAAGCCCTTACTCCCCACACTATGACAGTATTGCAGGGGTGGGGCTTTTGGGAAGTGATGAGAGTTGGATGAGGCCATGAGTGTGGAGCTTTTGTGATGAGATTGGTGGCTTTGGAGAGAGAGGGAGTGAGGGAAAGGAGAGAGGAGACTAGAGAGAAAATGGAAACAGCAGAGAGAAAGCTGGGGGGAGGAGATAGCAAGGAAAAGAGAGGAGAGAGAACACACACAGAGTTCCCTCTCCTTCTTCTATGTGAGGCCACAGGAAGAAAGTGGCCATTTGTAAGCCTGCAAGTGGACCTGGCCACACTTACAACCTGATTTCAGGCTTCCTCCAGAAATATGAGAAAATATGTACCTATTGTCTAAGCCAACCCATCTATGGTATTTTGTTATGGCAGCCCCGGCTAATATACCTTACAACTGGGGGCTGTCTGATTCAATAATGGTGTCACATAATGTAATTCCATGCTGCTGTACAAATCATATTTACAATCTAGGCACTGTGGTGTGACCCTGCACACAGCTACTGAGGAGGCTAAGATGGGAGGACCAGTGAGCCTCAGAATTTGAGACCTGTGCAACATAGTGGGATCCTGATTCAAAAACTCTTCTACTACTGCTATTACTAATGATGATGATGACAATTTAAAAAATCACACTGGCAAAGAGTTTGTAATGACATGGCATATAGCATGATTTAATGTTAAATGGGGTCAAAAAGCTACAAACATGTCTCATAGAGTGGTCTGTTATATTAAGAGGAAAGAAAATCATACAGAAAAACAAAACAAATAAGATGCCAATGTTTGCAGTGTTTCTCTCTGCTGTGGGAATGTGGGCAACCGATGTTTTGCACTTCCTGTTTCTCAGTATTTTCCAAATGTTCCACTAGAAGGGTACAATGCTTTCAATATCAGAAAAAAATATTATGTGCCTAAAAAGAGGGAGAGGAACATTTTGCTTTCTGGATCCCCCAAGCTCCCCCAATCTGCTGTGCTTTGCTCACCAACACTCAAGGGACAGCTGGGACCAAGGGTGTGCTTTCAGAACCTGCGGGGAGCAGGGCTGGAGAGGGGTCTTTGACAAGGGAACCTCTCCCAGAGGGGATGGAGAGCCAGGAGGCGCTGGGCCTCCACCCACGGCTGAATGCTAGTCCCCGGGACAGGGAGAGTGAGAAACAGCTGCCCTCCATGCTTGCACTTTGAAAAAACATGCTTGGGAAGTTGGGCAAAGGGAGATTTGTAGTGCTCTTTGAGCATCTCCTGGGATTCCAGGATGGAACAGTTGGGAAAATCAAATCTCTGCTAAGTTGGACCTGGGGGATGGAGGAGCCCAAGACCAGGTTTGCCTCTGCCATAACAAAGTAGAAGCCTGAGGCCAGCACACCCTCCACGGGCCTCCCATCTTCTGGCCCCTCCTCCTGGCCTACTGTTCTCTCCTCCGGGAGGCTGTGGCTCCCAGCTCAGAGGCCATTCCAAGTGGTCTGGCTCCTTTGCACATCATGAGACTAAGCCCTGCTGAGAAGGGCTGACTGTGTGCCAGGCCTGGAGGGAACCAAGTAGGAAGCCTGGCGAGGGACAAAGCATCACCACCACAATAGGGCCTCATAACGCTTGTGCATAATGACACAAGGCACTGCCAGGGACACAGTGGGTCCTCCTAACATGTGTAGCCTGCAAGAGAAAAGTCATCAGCTGGCCCTCAGAAGGTCCTCGTGACACTTACACCTGATGAAGGACCAGGCATCACCAGGTGCACAGCAGGTCCTGGGGTCAGAGACAAGGTACTGGCCAGCACACAGTAGGTCTCCATGATACTTGGGCCTGGTGAGAGACAAGGCTTTGCACATCCCCCAGGAGGTCCCAAGGAAAGTCTAGCCTGATCGGGACACAAAGTAAATAATATCACCCAAAGAAGTCCCAGCCCCGTGTGCATCATCCTGCAGCATTGTCTACTCTGGAAGGCCAGCTGCAGCCAGGGACAGGGACGAACACAGGCAGAGAGCACACGGGTGGTGTGGCAGGAGGGCAGGGCCACACTTCCACCACATGAGCTGGGAGCCGTGCTGGCGGCTCGCCCCTCAGAGCAGCGAGTGGGAAACAGGAGAAGGACAACACCTGTCTGGCAGATGGTATGATTGAAACAAGGCAAAGCAGGTGAAATCCAGAGCCTCTGTCTGCAGTAGGCGCTCAGCACACAGCAGAGCCCACTCTCCCTGACCCTGCACGTCTCTGCAGGCAAGAGAAAGCACCATAGAAGAGCACTGCCCAAAGAATTAAGAGAGGAAGTGGGGGAAGAATAAAACAGGAGGCTTAGTGCATCATTTGTATTCTTTATCGCCGGCAATAGTAGAATCCTCTTGGTCAGTTCTATAAATAGGCCGGCAGCAACCTTGAGAACTGAGAGGTTAATGCCTTTGATGAGAACACCAAAGAGAGCTGGCACCACAGAGGGGGACCCCGGAGGTCACTGAGCTCCCGCACACAGCCTGGCCCCAGTATTTTACAGAAGGGGACCCTGAAAACCTCTGAGGGAGGGGACAGATGGGGCACAGCTCAGGACGAGTGGCCAGCCCCGGGCAATCCAACGCCCTTCTGTGCCTCGGTTTCCCCATCGCAAGACAAGGGGGCCAGCAAATCCAAAGTGTAAACCATTCTGGACCCCTCTACACATCTGACCTGAACTCTTGGGGGAATACACGTGGAGCTTTCAGTGGGTCACAGAGGGCAGGAATTTCATCATCCTCTGCCGCTTGCTTTATGTTTCTGGCAAAACTGGAGAGAGCAAGAACCCTGAGGCAGCACTTCTGATATCTAAGCAGCTCTCAGAATATGGTCTTGGCCCATTAGGATCCCACAGGAGCGGCTCCCTTTGCTGCTCTTTACTTTAAGTCTGTGTGCGTCATGGGGACAAGGAGGGGCAGGCTTCTCCCTCCTCCTTACCGCCTCATCTCCTGCATTGTCCCAAACAGGCAAGGTCACTGGTAAACAGAGGAGCTCGTTCCTAAAGAAAGCGGACAGGTGCTTCTCCGATACCAGCCACTCCACCAGCCCTGTATAACCGCTCACCTCTGCAACCTGGATCCCTGGGCGGGGCCATCTGGGGACAGCCAGGTCACTGTTCATGGTTCAGTGCACAGGCCACTCGCTGTGCTTCCCTCCCCAGAGCAGCCTACATGGAGAGCTGCAGTCAGGCAAGGTGCAGCGAGCCCTGGCTGCTGAGGCAGACACCTAGCCATGTCCCCACTGTGCTGCAGGCTTGCTTGGTGGCCTGCCACTGCTTTCTCCCCTCAGCGGGCCTTAGTTTTTGCCACTTGCCAAAGAGCAGGTTGGACTGAATGATTGGTAAGGTCCTGGCCCAAGAAAACCTTCTCTTTCTCTCTGATAGTGGTAAGGGACATGAGAGCAGAGATCGAGGCATCTGGGACATGCAGGGACAGAGAGGTCAGTGGGCTGGGCCTGGAAAACTGTCCTTAGTTTTCCTGGTTCTGGGCTTATGGTACAACTCTGTCCTTGTTCCTTGCAGCCAGAGACCTGGGGACCGGTATGTCACACGCAGCATACATTAAAGCCACCTGCATGTGCCGCCTGGGCATGCTCCTGACGCCCACCACCCTCAGCCTCTCCTGCCGGGGCACCTCTAGAGGATCAGCCCGCACCCCTGAGTCAAGTGCTGTCAGCTGTGCCACTTCACACAAGTCACCCTACTTCTCTGTCCATCTGTTTTCTCTCCTGCAAGATGAAGATCACAATTCTGCTTTCTCTCAGAGAAGGCAGCACTCAAAAATGTTAGATGCACGCAAGAGGGGCAGTTTTCCAGGTTTTGTGTTCCCACGTCTGTCATCAGGTGTTTATGGTAAAACTTGGCCCCGGGGCCTTGCCTGTGTTCTACCAGGTCTGTTCAGAGATGTCTCCTCCACCTGACTCGGCAGATGGTGCGGCGAAGACTCGATCCATCACTGAAGCCTATTCAGACAGCATGTTATGATTACGGAAATGTAAATTATATGTGTACATCTTCAAATTTAATAACTTGCTGCTTGGATTAATGCTCTCAGGAGCCAAAATGCCTCACTCAGCTCATTGGAGTCAACTCCGAAACCCCCAAATCACAGACCAACAC